ACCAGTTAAAGAACTTTTTATGATCATTGAACATGAAATAGCATTGTCGAGGATAGAGACAGGTGTGTGAAAAAAAAAACACGCGTTTCGAATGACAAAATAGTAACTTGAGTCCATCTGAAGGCTGCCAAAGAGCTTTCCGGTTCAGTGAATCACGTCTGCAAGGTCAATTGAAAGTCAATTTATAATAGGTTCTTGAATCCGTCCTATTAATGGCCACGATGAATGAAAATGTATTAGGTATCGTTGAAAAATTCAAGGTTACGTTGATATCTCAAAAATTAGGTAGATCTTTATATCTTCAAGGTATACCAAATTCAAATTGTATTCTAATCAGCAAACTGCGGATCTTTATATAAAGTAAAAATTGACTGTTTCAATTGCAGAGGGAGAAAGAAGAGAATTGAAACCTGTTCTATACAAAGCAATAAAAATTCGATAATAGTCGTTGTAACGAACGTAATAAATTCGTTTAATTACGCAATGTATTAAATTATCCACGGAAAACAGAATTGTTACCCAATGTAAACAATTAAGGTGATTCATGCGTTTCTCATCGGATCGAACAAAATCTTGACGTGTCAATAAATCGTGTACGTTTAATCTTACGTGAACGTTGGATTTGAAGTATCGTCACATTATTTGGAACAAGGCCGTGCGATTAATCAAACCGCGTTTCTTCTACTTTGGAATGAGACACTCCGCCGAGCACTCTGCGTAATTATGCCGCTACACTATTTGGTATGTATGTAGCACCCGGCCGTATTTAATGTGATCCATTCGGTTGCAGAAATATTTCCTATTTTCACTGCACTTTTTCATTCCTCTTTTTGGATAAGATTAGAGTAAATTCTCCCTAATTGTCGCTCAGCTTGGATACAAAAATGGACAATTTGGGAAGAGGAGGTACGATCAATCGAGCCTTGTGGCTCGTTTTTATGGTTACCGATTGTCAACAACTTATTCAACGTGCGTCACAACGTGCGTTACTTTTGTAACACGTTTCATTTTTCTTACGAAGACTGACACCTTTCAATTTGCCACGAAAAGAAGCACACGCTTCATTTATCCCGCCGAAGACTGTTATGTTGTACTACTATATTGTAGTACGAAAACTAACACGTTTCATTGTTGCGACGAAGAATAACACGTCTTAGTGTGTCACGCACAGGCGAAAATTTCGGCAGTGAGCATATTAATTAATAAAATAACACTTTACAGGCAGCGCGGTTTAATGAAAAACGACGTTTTTTCCTGGATTAAACTGCTATTTTACGAATAAACAATCATCTTTTCACGGGCAAAGTAACTCGCTTAAAAACTATTTTGTATGTTTTATTAAATATTTGATGTTCTTTATATATTTTAATTATAGAAAAAAATCATTCTTACATAAAAGACAACGACATGTAACATAAATGTTTTAAGAATTGCAACATTGGTAATAGAAATTGTTTAGTTTGTCGAGAACTTCGGACGTTACTTTAACGAGCAGAATAATTCACATACTTGTCCTATTCCGTTTTAGAAGTGTACGAATATGTATTTTTTCGAGTCACTCTATGTCTCATTTCAAATATGGAACGTGGTTGCGAAACAGTATCTGTACCGTACGATAAGTTAACAGAAAGTAGAAAACTCAAAGGTTATGGTGTTCGTATACAATGTAGCATAGAACGGTTGATATGACTGTTCGTCGATATGCCACTTCAATCTCTTATCTGTTAGCAGAATTTTTAATTATGAGATTTCCGAGAAAAGATAATCGAGAATGGCCGAATCAATATTCATTTGGTACAATGTACAGTGTGTCCTAAGAAATGTATAGAAGAGCTTATCACTTCGAAACTATTCAGGAAAAAGAACAGTTTATAAATAAAAATGAAATGGTGAATGTATAAATATTTTTGAGCAGATTTTCAAATTTTTCTTGCAATGAAATTATATGTTGTTCGAAGTTCGTTTTATAATATAAGGGAACAACAAATTTAATAACGATTAGCCTTGCAGATTTTTATGCAAAATAATAATTGTCCGTACTGATTGCAAGACACAGAGGCAACATAGACGTTTATTACTTTTCTTAGCAACTTTAATATGTTGAAAATAATATAACTATATTTTAATATTTGTCTGACGTTTTCACTGAACATTTTTTTCACAAAAAGTTTAAGGATTTGACCTATACAGGGTGTCTTAAATAAATTAGTGTCCTTAGGTATCTACAAAATTATTAAAAACACTGTAAAATCTTGCAGGTGTTTAAGAAAATTTACAATTTTAACGATTCAGCTATTTATTTTCATGATATAAATGAAAGTACCACGACGCTGCTGCTACAGTAATTCTCTCGATAGAACCAACGTTATTTCCAATTGTTTGTGAAGAGAATTAGTTAACATTGCTTTCCCACCAAGTTTTTCATGTATATTTCGATGTATTTTACATGCACATAGATGTATTTTGATACGTCGATAGTTAAATCGCCAACTTCTCGTTCGTTACTTAACATGGCCATCTTACTTTCAACTATTTAAGAACTGTTGCTATATAGATTTAAATCTAAAATAGCCTTATTACATATATCGAACTCCGTGATCATGCACCGCGCAGTCTGATATACTCACATATGTATGTAACTGTGTAGCACACAGGTAAATAGTTGGCAGTAACTTCGTTACTATAACACATTGCACTATGACCTGCAATTTGTGGAAGCTATTTTTCAGCCGTTGCATTATTATTTTATACGAGAAGGATTATTTTTTGCCTCTCTTTTTTTTACATATTTAAGTTCTTTTCTCTATCTAGCAAACAGCCGGTAGTGGTAAACAATTTTAGAGACTCTTTTCGACACGAAAGCATTACATTTGACTTTTTGCATGCGAATGTACCCTCTCAGGGACGTAACAAGACCGCGGATATAATTATGATACTTTTGAAATTCAAAATTTTTGTTTCGCGTGATCTGTATCGATGCAATCTTATGCAAAATTCTATTTAAATGGAGTAATTCTTTCAAATGTTATTCTGCTTTATATTTTATGTGAATCATTAGCTATTACTTCGCGAAAAAGCACGTCGAAGTTGTTGGTAGCTGATCCAACAAAATTCTCCGAGTGCAAAGAGCTAATGAAGTGGGAGCCATGTCTGAAAAACTTGAAGACAAGGTTTAATGCGACCTGTTCACATTTACATTTGCGATGTAAACTTCATAAACATATATCGTTCCATTTTTTTATCATTTTCTTACCGTAAAAAGTCTCGTAAAAAGCCAACAGTTTTGTGAATACAATAACGAATATTCACGTAACGACGCCAGATCAAAGTTTTACTATAAGCATAGTAGATTCAAAACCTTGACCCGAAGTGATCTTTGAAGGATCACGAATATGTGCGTATACATATACTATTAACACGCAGTTTTGTGTCATTTTGTCCGGGTATGCGTTTTCAAGTTAAAATAATGGGAGGCTAAGAAATTCGAATTCAATGTAACATCGACAAAAATTGGGTTTCTATTTTTTTTTATATTTTAACCTAACCTCCTTAAAATTGTTCCAATCGTCGAAAAATTTCCTTCGTGAGCTAGCAACAACATTTTCTTCTTTTATTGGCGTTTATAGTCTAATTTTAACTATTTCTATACTGTAAACCTAGCATAAGTAATCAAAATAATTAACGGCATAAATTAAAACAATCAAACGTACCTTCGTCGCTAGTTTCCATTATAACAATTTATTTTAGCTATAAAAAAAGTAAATACAAAACTTATTTTAATAGTATCAGTTGATGATAATCTAAATAAGAACTTCTAAGAATTGTTTTAAGAAACTTAATACAATATATAATATATATATAATATAATATAATATAATATAATATAATATAATATAATATAATATAATATAATATA